GTGAAGTTCAGCCGGTCTTTTTTTTAATTTTTAATCGGGCTACTTAAATTCATTTTGGGCTACTAAAATCTGAAGAATGTCTGCCCAAAGGGCTACCAGCAATTTTTAAATTTTGCGAGCCCTGCATACAGTCACCTTTGCACTTACAAACTCGAAACAACTAAACATTGGTCAGAGATGTTTCACCTATCATAACTGTTGGATTGAAATCTCACCAGCCTCTGTTGGTGGTCTGTCACTCCCACTGATTAAGGATGGAAGAGCATTCTTTAACCTGGGACTCAAGGTGTTTCGGATTATTTGAATATTATAGACAAGTATGTTGGATAGGTTTGGAACAGAAAATCTGCAGGACGGTGGTTGGGTTGTCCGGTAGGGTTGGGTACCGAAACCCGGTACCAATATGGCACCGGTAGCTATGTAACCGGTATGTACTAGAACCGAATCCGAACACAGATTTTGGTGCCTCATTTCGATGCCATGCCTGAGCGATCGATTGAAATATTTTTTTGAAATTTTGCGAGCCCTGCATACAGTCACCTTTGCACTTACAATCTCGAAACCGAGATGTTGCACCTATCATAACTGTTGGATTGAAATCTCACCAGCCTCTGTTGGTGGTCTGTCACTCCCACTGATTAAGGATGGAAGAGCATTCTTTAACCTGGGACTCAAGGTGTTTTGGATTATTTGAATATTACAGACAAGTATGTTGGATAGGTTTGGAACAGAAAATCTGCAGGACGGTGGCTGTCCGTTAGGGTTGGGTACCGAAACCTGGTACCAATATGGCACCGGTACCTATGTAACCGGTATGTACTAGAACCAAATCCGAACACAGATTTCGGTGCCTCATTTCGGTGCCATGCCTGAGCGATCGATTGAAATATTTGTCCTCTGGTTCTCCGAAACGGACGTAAGAAGCATCATCACTGGCACCGCACATGAAAACTAATTTCCCGACTGAGAAAATGCACGTGAACTCAAGTCGGAAAGCTCTAATAATACAAATCCAACACATCTTTGTAGTAATGCGAGTGTCCATGTTGTTTTCACATTCCGACTTAAAAGCACAACTCAGGAAATTAGAGCATCCGAGGAGCGTGTGAATGCAGTAATTACACTTGCTCTGATGGCAGCAGGTAGCCTTCCGTTAACTAAGATAGACAAGCTTAAATTAAAACGCCTAAAGATAAACCTCCCTTGTATTCACATTTCTAAACCTGTTGTCCAACAAAAGAGAAAATTATAACCTTTTTACTCCACAACACCAGTCAAATGCTTCCTTTTGTGATCTGATGAGGCAGAAAATATGTTCTATATGCTACTTTAAAAAGAATACATCGATTAGCAATAAATTAGGGTGACCATACGTCCTCTTTTCCCCAGACATGTCCTCTTTTTGGACCTACAAAAATGCGTCCGGCCGGGATTTCTTAATTGCCCAAAATGTCCGGGATTCGCCTGTTTTCTTAATCCCACTCCCGCTGAATCCCTGACCATTGCTACCTGCTCCCGCAACATGTGTTTCGCTCCTGCGATTTTCGTGTCCACTCCTTTAAACATTCTAATATTTTGGCATAATTTTGGCGCATCTCAGGATGCGGTGTATTTAAATATTTTTTAATGAGCGTTTGCGCTGTTTACTTTCACTTTCGATTTTGCGATCACATGCACTCTGTGTAAAGGGAGCACATCTTACAAGATCAGATGTTTGTCAATGAGCTCAGAATCTGTTGAGCAGCAAATACTCCAGCATGGTCTTGTCAGTCATCTCTCCTTATTCTCGACCTGTGATCAGTCAAAGCTGACTC